AAAATCCACATACAACTTTTGACTCCCCCAAAACTTAGACTATCTCTCAATATGCATGGGGAGTGGCTTCAGGACCCCTGCAGATAACAAAATCTATGGATGCTCAAGTCCCCTTTACAGTATGGCATAGATCAATGCATACAGTCGGTCCTCAGCACCCTCAGACTCCCAATCACGGATTGAAAGTAGCACAGGTATTTACCCAAAAAACCCCTACATATAAGTAGATCCATACAATTCAAACCCATGTGTGTCAACTGTACTTTCTTCTTCATTAAAATAGAACACATGGCTTTTGAGCCCCTTTTATTGAGGTTTAAAAATTATCTGAAGCCTTTTAAAGATTTCAACTTCCAACATTATGGTGGACCAGAATCTCTGAAGAGCATCTGTTTACCAAATCCCAAGATCCTGCACAAGAATAACTTCTATGCACTGAGGACTCACAAGAACACAAAGATAATGTTCAAACCTCCTCTTTAACCAACAAAAAAAGAAAAATAGAAAAAGAACTCAAAAAAAGGTATGTAAATGGAAAATGAGCATGTGAAATGGTGCTCACATCATATGTCATCAGGGAAATTCAAATTAAAATGAGATACCACTACATGCCTGTCAGAATGCCCAAAATCCAAAACACTGACAACACCAAATGCTGCAGAGAAAGTAGAATAACAGGAACTCATTCACTGGAGTGAGCTGGAAATGTAAAATGGTGCAACTACTTTGAAAGACAGTTTGGTGGTTTCTTATAAAATTAAACATACTCTTACCATATAATCCAGTGTTCATGCTCCTCAATATTTATCCAAAAGAAGTACGACTTTTGTCCACACCAAAACCTGCACACAGATGCCATATTCATAACTGTCAAACTTGGAAGCAACCAAGATGTCTTTCAATAGGTGAGTGGATAAGATAGCTCTGGTGCATCCAGAAAATGGAATACTATTTAGCCAAAAGAAATGAGCCATCAGCCCTGATACGGGAGTGGAGAGAAGCTGAAGACTGAGTTCAATCACCAATGGCCAATGATTTAACCGATCATGCCTATGATATAAAGCCTATATAAAATCCCAAAAGGAGAGGGTTCAGAGATCTTCTGGGTTGGTGAACACAGGGAGATTTGGGAAGTAACACTCCCAGAGAGCTTAGAAGCGCAACACCCCTTTTCACAAACCTTGCTCTATGCACCTCTCAGTCTTGCTTTTCCTGAGTCATATCCTTTTATAATAGACAGGTGATATAGTAAGTACACTGGTTTCTCATGTTCTGTGAGCTTCTCTAGAAAATTAATCGAACTTAAGCAGTGGTGGTGGGAACCTCTGATTTACAGGTTCCCAGCCAGTCAGAAGCCCAGGTGACAGCCTGGCATCTGAAGTGGAGGGTGATGGTGTTGTGGAACCAAGCCTTAACCTATGGAACCTGATGCTGTCTCCATACAGGTTGATTACAGGACACCCAGCTGGTGTCAGAGAATTGCATGGTGGCATGAGGGAAAACCCCACACGTCGAAATCTCAAGTATTCAACACAGGGCTCAAGAAACTTTTTGTGTAAAAGGCCACATAGTGATATATTAGGCTTTGCAGCCACATAAAGTCTCTGTTACATATTCTTTTTTATTTTATAAACCTTGAAAATATAAAATGAATCTTAGCTCGTGGGATACATAAAACAGGCTGCAGGCCAGATATGAGTGGTATCTTCAAACCCTGACATGACACACCATATTTCAGGAATTCATTTTGGATGACCTACTTCTCTTTCTTCCCTCTCCCTGAAGAATATTAGTCCTTGAGATTAGAAATCTTAGTCTACTGTGTTTACTAATAAACCCCTACGGCTAAGATGAACACATAGGAAGTGCTCAATCAACAATTTTTAACGAATGAAAGAAATAAGTCAGTCAGGAAAAAACCATTTTATTTAAAGCCTCTAATGATTTCTATAGCTGAGGCCTTTGGTATTCCACCCAGACCTCTGAACCCCTGTAACCAGTAGTGGGTGCCATACCCCTGCTTTTGAATTCTTTGTTGCTAAAGGCTCCCACTTGCCCTCTCCTTCTGAGTAGACCTACATGGGACCCAGACAAGAGACCTGGAAGTGCCTGAGTTAACACCAACCAAGGAAGGCCCACAGGCAGTGACTGCTATGGGAATATAAAAGCTAAGCCCTCTTGCCTTCAGGGGTGACAGACTATGCAGGGTACTTCATGCTCCAGAACTCCCCTGGAGTTCTGGCACTTCTGAAATTATGCCCGCCCTTAGCTGGCTTCTTTGTCTTCCTTATCCTGTCTCTGCAGTCCCATATTGGCTTCTCCTGGGAGCACCTCCTTAACCAACCACTGGAACCTTCATCTTCCTTAACCAGGAACCTTCATCTCAGAACCTGACCCTGAAGATTCTGATCTAAGACAACCTCAGGTATTGGAACATAATACAAAACAATGTATATTAAATGCTCAAAAATTTGAAAAGTGGAATGACAAAGAATGAGCAAACAATGAGAAACTATTAAAAATAAACAGGTATATTTGGAAAAGAAGTAAAAAGAACTTCTAAAATGAAAATTTAATTGTTGAAATAAACTCATTGGATGGTTTAAATAGCAGATTAGACACACCTAAAATTAGAGCTACTGAACTGGGAGAAAGATCTGTATCCAGAATATATTCCAAAGAGAGAGGGAGAAAGAAAATACAAAATACAAAAAAAAGGTTAAAAGATATGAATAAGTTGGTTTAATAAACATATAATCATAATCTCAGAAGGAAAAATGGCCCAGCAACCTCACTCCTCAGTATTCACCCTGTAGATATTCTTGCACTTATGCACTGAGGGACATATGCCCCAAACTGGAAACAGCTCTAATGTTCATCAAAAGGATAAAAGAGAAGTATATTATAGCAAAGTCAGATGGTAAAATATTATATAGTAATGAAAACAGATGTACTATAGCTACAAGCAACAACGTAGATGAATCTCTGAAAAATTTTATAAAGCATAAATATGAGAAAAACTAAACCATATATCTGGGAATACATATATATATTACGAAACTATTTTTTAAGCAAGGTAACGGTAAATACAAAATAAAGGATATTTGTTGCTTCTGGTGGGAAGGCAGGGGGACCAAACCCAGAAGGTGCACATAAGGTATTGATAATGTTCCAGATCTCAAGTTGGGTAGTAGGTTTATAAATGTTCATTTTATTAGATTCTTCATAAACTAGCCTAAGTGATCTAACTGATTGCATATATCAAGAAATTATATTTAAAATAGTATTTCGAGGATCTCTATAAAGCAAATAGAGGTTGTGCTATTTACTAAGATTAAGAAATGTGCTATTTACTAAAAGCCTCACACCAGAGATTGTTACAGTCCTCACAGCCTCTGCCATAGCTTTTGGGCCCAGGTGATTGAAAGGGCTTGAAAAATCTGTTTTACAACTGATGGGAACAGTTGGTTCCTTTTTCATTTTGATGACAGTTTCTTACACATGCAGAAGCTTTTTAGTTTGGTGTAGTCCCATTTGTTTATTTTTTCCTTTATTTCCCTTGCCCTCGGTCCAACGGTCCTGGACGACAGTGTGGGAACTGACTGCGAGAGCCGGGTATGGGATGGGTGGAGGAGGGCAAAGGGGTGAAAATTGGGACAACTGTAATAGAGTGATAATAAAAAAATGATTTAAAAAGAAACCATGAAGATAGACCAGAGCTAAAATCTTATATCTTATTGGGTCTGTGAGCAGGTTACTGACTATTCATAGATCTAACTTTTCTCATAAAATAACGGCAATAATATTTGCCTCATAGGGTTTACTATGAGAATTAGCATGGTAAAATTACTAGACCATAAGCTCCACAGTGGATAGGACTGTATCTGTCCTATTCCTCTGTGCTTCCTTAGTAAATAGCACATGCCTGGAATTTAGTAGGTGTTTATGTCAGTTCGTCTTCCTTCCATAACAGTACAGAATAAAGCATTGGTGCAGGGAGAGGTAGCTTTATAGTGATTGTTTCTTTTTTTTTACTTTTTCTTTTGGCTTTGGTTTGTTTTGTTTGCTTTTTAAATAGATATTTTATCTTGATATTGGCTACATGTCACTGTATGTATGAAGCAACCTGACTTCTCTGGGTTTCAGGTTCTTAATCTGTTTTACAACAGAATTGGAATCAGGTATATAATTTCTTGATGCCTATAGCCTGACATCACACCCTATATATTAGTGTTTTCATAAAGTAAATGATAAAGAATATTTCTATTACACAAAAATGAAAATTCAAGTTACACATTCATGGATAGCCTCCAAAGAAGGATAATAACCACTTGAACAAAACATCTGAGATGGTCAAATTGTGTTCAGTGACTGCCACCTTAGGTGTGTGGGAGTATAGGCATCGTGCTTTTCAGCACATTGCATCAGCTTGGCTCTTCGGTCTTTGACCTCCCATTCTCATCCTTTCCCCTTTGGCTCCCATTCTTCTTCAGTACCACGTAGTTACATCTGAAACTCACCCCACAGCATCTGGTAAGCTCAGCTACTCTTACACCTCTATCTACTACAGATACCACAGTTAATCTGGGTACTGCCATGATTAGACCAATTCATCAAATAAATCTCAGGAGCTCTGTTCCCAAGAGGTATTGCTCATGCAGTCGTGATGCTCACATGCTGGAAGCCAGCTCACCTCCCTAGAGAGAAGGCAGGACACCTAGACCTGCAGCCCAGTGGAACATAGCGAGAAAGATTTAAATTCAGTTCCCCCACTCCCACCATACATCTTTCCAACCCTAAGGATCCTTTCCTCACAACGTGAGCCCCTCCTTAGTTCACGTCTCAACTGCTATAGGTCTAGCCTTTACCAGCTCAATGGCAGTGTAATAGTTGTAAAGTGAAAGAGTGAAGTCACAGATGCTGATGGCCTTGAGTATGACAAATAAGACCCACTGAGAGCAACAGAGTCAATGCTTCTCCCAGAGGTGCCAGCCGCTTACCTGATGTTTTCCAGGGCATTTGTTACCTGCTGTCGTTCAATATCATACAGCTTCACCCTGAAGCCTCCACTGGCAAACAACATAGCCCAGCTTCGCCCAATGAGGCCACTAAAGGGAGAGAAAAATCAAAGGAGGCTTCCAGTTAACTTAGTAATTGGGCAGTTTTTCACTCTTAACCCAGAATAAAAAATTTTAAATTATACGGTATCCTATTCTTAAAGTACTTAATGTCTTAAAATTATACGTTTTAACAGCTGTATTGATTTTAAATGTTATGTTTCACTAAGAGCTCTTGAACCCTTGACTCAAGTCCAGCATTAATACTGCACATGGAGCACCACCAGACAGGTAGTTAACACGCACTCACACTGAAACAAAAAGTTACAGTAGGGAGGTGGCAGGATGTCATGCATGTGACAGGCCCCTATGGGAACCTCCATCTGACCACTGTCTTAGGCAAGTCACTTACCCTGAAGACCAGGTAATAGTTCCTCTGTCTCTTCAAAGAAATAATTAGCTGCTATCACCACTAGCACTGGAGTATGTTATTAGGTACCAGGCAACATTAAACATAATATGTGTCTCACCTCTGTTAATTTTTACAACAATCCTACAAGGTCAGCGCTATTATTACTCCATTTATACAAAGGAAAACTGAGGCACACCTGGGTTAAGATGATACAGGCTTTAAGTTCTGGAGCTGAGATGAACGCCAGCAGTGTGACTCTTGAGTCCTTACCACTACATTCTGCCCACTGTTTCAGATATATTGGAAATAAAGGGACAGATGAATGTGTTAAATGGCATTACATGGTTATATTCAGCAAAGTCCAGAATGTGGGAAATTTATAACAAATGACCCATGTTCTTCAAGAAATAAACTGCCAGGCCCCAAACCATTTCTCAGAGTTATGTTTGCAAAGCAATGTTGAGGGAAGAAAATACATCCCTCAAGGACAAATGGCAAGCTTGCTTACCTCTTACTATAAAAACAGTAGCTTCCTTGAATTCAAGGTCCCTCCCCCTGAAACATATTCACTGAATCCACAGGTGTATACCTGGCTCCTCACTTTGCCCCCATGGGACTTGGGGAGAAGGGGGACCAATGTAAGTATAACGTTCATGCTGCCTGCTGTGCTGTGATTAATACAGTCCTTTGTCTCTGACCCTGGAGTCTCACATCCTCTGCCAGTATTCAGGAAACAGTAACCAACTAAGTTACAGCTTGCAGGTGGCCTGAATGTATAGTAAATGCAAACTTGTCTCAGTTGTGGTGTTACTTCACTGTAGTAATTATATGAGACACTTTGGGGAAGGGAGGCTAGTGATAGAATAGCAGTGACAGGGTGGGCTCCAAAAAGCATTCTCCCACTCCATCTCCCCCCACTTCCTCCTCCTTCTTATTTAGCTAAGGTTCTGAGCATAGGAAAAGCCTCACACCAGAGACTGTTACAGTTCCCACAGCCTCTCTCATAGCTTTTGGGCCCAGGTGATTGAAAGAGCTTGAAAAATCCTGCTAATGCCACAGAAGTGCTATCTGAGCTTCAAAGCACTCACGTGATGCTTACTTAAGCTAAGCCTTTAATATGTATAAGGGGTCATTAAGAGGGGCTACCATCTTCTTATAAGGTTTCTTACGTGAACCCATTTAGTGAGAAAGCAGAATGAAAACAACTGAAATAACTTCTACTGATCTTCTAGAGAAGGGAGCAGGATTACACAGTAGATTTTACTCCATATTCTTCTACAATATTGAAATCTCTTGAAATTAAATTTTACATATCATATGCCTACATTTTTTTATGAAATCCTCTGTGCTCTGAGCCTGTACTGTCTAATATGGCAAACTCCAGCCACATGCAGCCATTTAATTAATTAAAGTTAAATAAATTTTAAAACTCAGTTTAAACAGCCACATGTGATAGTGGCTGCCATCTTGAACAGCAACAGTATAGAAAGCATTTCCATCTTTACAGAAAAGTTCTACTGGACTGAGTTGTCTAGAACACATGAAGAAAAAATAAACCCAGAGTTTTGAAAGAGATAGTTCAACATGAAAACATCTTTCTCTTCTTCAAACACACACACACACTCCAGAGCTGCAAGGTGGTTAGTTAGAAGGCCAATTAATATTCATACCAGTTGTACCAACTGGCCAGCCATTGACTTTAAACATTTTTCCTACTGCTCTTATTGGAATTTTTGAAACATATGGTGACTTCCTTAACTATAAAAGAAGCCCATAATGCAGTCTAAGTCTGGCATGAAGAATACTTTCACAGTGGGGTTTATAGCAGTGTGTTCACTGTGTAATAATCATCAAGCTTTATACGTAGGATTTCTGCACTTTGCTGTATGTAGGACATGAGCCACAAATATACTTCCCCCCAAAAGAATTCTTTTTATTGCCACACTTCTACAAAAGGACTCATCCATACATGTAAAAGCCTTTGCCCACATGCTGGCCAGGCTCCTCTCATCCTGGACCCCCAGAGGAACAGCAGCTCCACTTGGTCTCTCAAGCACCCTTAGCATCAGACCCTCAGTCTGTCTACTGGGACCCCTGGCAGTCTGTGTCCACCACACACTGAAACTGAGAGAACTGGTGCAAAGGAAAAGGGAACTACAAATGCCGGGATAGGGAACAGGAAGGGCTGGCAGGCTGAACAAAGGCAGAGGGGTAAGGTGCTTCAATTAGTCTCTTTATAAGAGCCCCAAGTGCTATAGCAGCTTTTAAGAAAAGACTTTCCATAAAGGAAAACATAACAGATTAATCTCATTCGATAAACTTCCTCCTACAACTTGACTGGCTTTTTCAAATTAAGTCTAAACATCTCTCAAATGGGTCTGCACTTCAGTGGGAGCCACAAAAGAGGGAGAGAAGGCAGCTTTCTGAAGATCTGCTTCTCGGTCAAAAAAAGGTTACATCATTCCTTAAATCCGCATGTCCAGGACAGGAGCCACCAGCCAAATGAGGCTGTGAAGCACTTGAAAAGTGGCTAATGAAAAAATTCATAAACAAAAACCTCATTTAAAATGAAGGTGGGAAGCCAAGGGGCACTCTCATGCCTGAGATGATGGTGGAGCCCAACAGGAAGAACTCTTCTTCACAGATCTCCAAACTTCCTCTTCTCCTCTATAAAAGAGTGTTCCTCTCCTTTTTTTCTCAGGACTTGCCTGTTCTTTGCCAGAAGAGTACAGGTCCTGAATCGCTAGTCTTTGTTGTTCTGAATAAACCTATTTTGCTGGAGAAACATCTGGCAATTTGTTAAAGGTCAGCACCAGTCTGCAGTGAGGTACACTGCAGGTGTAAAATACACATTGGATTTTGAAGACAATACCAAAAAAAGAGTAAACTATTTCATTATTAATATTTTATATAAATTACATGTTGAAATAATACTTTGGAAATAAATATTATGCTAATTAAACATATTATTAAATTAATTTGAATACCAGGATTTCTGGCCAAGATGGGGATGTAGGTAGATACACTGTGCCTCCTCACACAACCAAAAGAAGGACCACAACAACAATTTAAAAATGAAAAACAACCACAACTGACAGAAAATCGAACTGTATGGAAGTCTGACAACCAAGAAGTTAAAGAAGAAACATTCATTCGAACTGGTAGGAGGGGCAGAGATGAGCAGCTGGGTGGAGAGAGAACATGTGGCAAGGCGGCAGCTGGCGGAGCAGGCAGTCCCACATCTGCATGCAGATAAACGGGGAGGATCAACTAGGGAGTGAGACTGCACAACCCAAGGTTCCAGTACAGGGAAATAAAGCCTCAGAACCTCTGACTGAAAAAAACTGTGGGGGTTGCAGGGGCAGGAGAAACTCCCAGCCTAACAGAGGAGTTCATTGGAGAGACCCACAGGGTCCTAGAATGTACTCAAAACCACTCTCCAGGGAATCAGCCACCAGAAGAGCCCAACTTGCTTGTGGGTAGCTATGGAAGTGACTGAAAGCCAGCAAAGAGCTGAACAAGGGGCACTGTTACCCTTCAAACCCCTCCCCCACAGACACTGCCACATTTCACTGAAGTGGGTTGCTCTGCTTTGGGGAATACCTAATGTTCCTCCCCTTACTACCTAACAGGTGCGCTAAGACAAAAAAAAAAATGGCCCAAATGAAAAAACAGATCAAAGCTCCAAAAACACTACAACTACATGATGAAGAGATAGCTAACCTATCAAATGCACAGTTCAAAACACTGGTAATTAGGGTGCTCACAAAATTGGTTGAGTATTGTCACAAAATAGAGGAAAATGTGAAGGCTATAAAAAGTGAAATAAAGAAAAATATACAGGGAACCAAAAGTGAAGTGAAAGAAACCAGAACTCAAATCAACGGTTTGGACTAGAAAGAAGAAATAAACATTCAACCAGAAAAGAATGAAGAAATAAGAATTCAAAAAAAAAAAAATGAGGAGAGGCTTAGGAACCTCCAGGACAACTTTAAACATTCCAACATCTGAATCATAGGGGTGCCAGAAGGAGAAGAGGAAGAGCAAGAAATTGAAAAATTACTTGAAAAAAATAATGAAGGAGAACTTCCCTAATCTGGCAAAGGAAACAGACTTCCAGGAAGTCCAGGAAGCTGAGACCCCTAAGGAAGCTGGACCCAAGGAGGAACACAACAAGGTACATCATAATTACATTAACCAAGATTAAAGATAGAAAGAGAATATTAAAAGCAGCAAGGGAAAAGAAGAGAGTTACCTACAAAGGAGTTCCCATTAGACTATCAGCTGATTTCTCAAAAGAAACCTTGCAGGCAAAAAGGGCCTAGAGAGTAGTATTCCAAGTCATGAAAAGGAAGGACCTACATCCAAGATTACTCTATCCAGCAAAGCTATCATTTAGAATGGAAGAGCACATAAAGTGCTCCTCAGATAAGGTCAAGTTCAAGGAGTTCATCATCACCAAGCCCTTATTATATGAAATGTTAAAGGGACTTATCTAAGAAAGATAAGATAAAAATATGAACAGTAAAATGACACCAATCTCCAACTATCAACAACCAAACCTAAAAACAAAAAACTAAGCAAACAACTAGAACAAGAACAGAAATGGAGATCACATGGAGAGTTATCAGTGGAGAAG